TGGGTTTGGGTGTCGCTGCGGTAGTTGAGATGATAACGGATGTGACTAACGTGATCAGTCATTAGCATTTAATAGTAAGCAACTGAGGTAAAACATACATTATAATACTCTCTTCAAAAGTTAGGGTGAAGTAAGTGGAACAACGTGATACGAATATTTATTTTTTAGGGCTGGAAAATGTTTAAGAGAAAAAAGGAAGGAGATGAAGAGAACACTGTTGAAAAAAAAAACAAGGCAAGATAAAATAAAAGACAATCAAATTAAGGAAAGTGAAGAGGAGGGATAAAAGGAAGGAGGAAAGTTAATGAGCTCAATAGCCTTTTACGAATTCATCTCCTCAGCACACTTTAGTGTTCTTTACAGGTCTCTAGCTCGAGCAGTTCTCCTTTTTTATCACATACTGAAAATGCAATTAGTGTTTTCAATTTTCCAGGCCCTTCTTCTCTACTCAATCATAAGGGAGTCCAGGTAATGTCTTTAAATTGTGCTTTGTAAGCTGGCTGCTTTCACATTAAAGTATTGTTTTTCATGTTAATTCTAACAATGAGAAATCAAGTTATATTACTTTGAGCTGGGTTGAATTGAAAAGATTATGTTGAATTGAAAACTTTGGACACACCAACTGCACATAAATGTTTAATTTCCCTTGGGATCAATAAAGTATCTATCTGTCTAAACATTTTTACTAAAGAGATTTGATCTTTTCAGCCAAATACAGGTGTATCAGTAGCTCCATGTGGATGTGTTTCAAAAGCAGCACGAGTACATTGTGAGAAATTTCTTCACTCTGTGTAGTTTTAGACTCTGCTTCCAAGAGCATCTTCTTAAATAAACATATATCTTTTTACTACATCAGTCTGTTGCTGCATTTTAAATTGATTTCTGTGTAGTCTAATTGTTTGGTTGATTCATTCATAAATTATGTCTGACATTGGCCGTGAAGCATATCCACAGCAAACTGCAGACACATAAGGTCGAGGTGTCTTCCCCTACAATCTTTGGTTCAGGTTCAGGGTTAGTTCAATTCTACCCATATGTAAATTTGGTGGCAGGGAGAGTCACTTATACCTAATAAAGCACAGACAATATATAAAATGCCAATGCATGGTACGCGGTTGGCCTCCGTGTAGCCCTTGGCTGCCCCTGAACAGCAATATATAAATATATCAAGCTCACCTACTTGTTGACTCCCTTTCACCAATCTTGTGGTCTCCATAGAAGTACTGTTAATTGGCTTGCTGGGTACATTCAGCTCATACCTGTCAAACCAGTTGGCTAACACCTACCAATTGGGAAATTAAGAGCAGGAAAGACTTCCTCTTCGGGCACATCCTCCATCACCCAAGTTCTTCATGACAGAACCTTTGTGATTTTTAGAGGTGGAAACTTGCGTCAGTAGTGAGCCGAAAATAAGTGATCGCAGTATTGGGTCATATATTGTGAGGACAAATTTCGATGCACTTTGAATATAAAACACTCAATCAGGTTCAGTCATTCAAAGTACTAGCTCTTTAGATAACAGAACTCTGGAAATTCAATCTTTATTGTATTTCCAAAAAAGGTTTTAAAAAATTCATGTTTAAGATAAAATGTACAAGTTACAATATATTATATTACAATAGATGTTCAAAGATATATTATAAAATATTGATAATGATATATTAATTGTACCATAGAAAGGATATGTTAACGTAGGGCTTTGAGCTGCTTGCTGACCTTATCAGCTGTATAAACATGAACTTCAGCAACATCAAAGTCAGGAACAAACATTTAAGACATTTTGGAAAATTTGAAATTTTATAATGCATAGTGAGAACTTTTCTCATTAAAGTAGTGAGCCGTAAATTGATGTTTGAGGGACACCACAGGCAAGGGCATGGAATTGTGGTTTCCAAATTAAATATCTAAATTTCCAGTACATTGAAAACCATGCAATGATGGACGTTGTAAAACAACTAGATAATCAAATTTAGAGACAGCAAAGGGATGAAGCAAGATGCTTCCCCACTTATTATAAAGTACTTTTGTTGGTAGGGTTGAAATAGAAGGATGGTTAAGTTGTAGTTGAAATTGCTAAATTTAAAGTTTGGCTCTGGCTTGAGCTAATCTCAAATCAGAAACTATCAAGGTAACTATCAAGATAACTCTAGTAATCCATTTGAGACACAAATTGCCATCATTTCTATATGATGCCATACATCGTAACACTGAGGTTACAGAAAACTCAATGAAGAGGATTTAAAGAAGTCTCTGCTACCACAGCAAATTCATTACAAAGTCATCTGCTAATTTTTACCCCGCGTGTGCTAGAGACGACCTTTGAATGTAAAGTTCATTAATCTGAGTTCAGAAAAGGAAACCTATTTTAGACTAGAGTGTGGGTGCAGAGTTGATAGGAGTACCGGAAATTAATGGTAGACTTGTGAATTGAAGGGATAAGAAATCTGTTATTTATCTCTGGTATTACTCCTCAGTCTGCTCTTGTTTTTCCATCTTAGACTCCTCCTCTGCTCCTCACCGATTCCTTTAGGCTCATTTAGTTAATTAAGGCCATGTAATGTTTCAGGAACCAATTATGCTGTGACATTATTAAAAGACCACCCTTCTGTGTAAGTTTAGATTGTGTCAGTCTCTTGTCTACCAAGAGAAAGGAAACTTGTCTGACCTAAGCAGCTGTTGGAATAGGGTTTGAATTTATATACAGTGAGAGGCAACATCAGCAACTTTCCTTTTCCTTAGTTTTTTTTTTTCTTCACTCTATACTATCTCTTATTCCTATATAACTTGAAAAAACTCCTATGAGGTTATGACAGACGTCAACATTGTTTGCAACTATACTTTTAACAGGGACAAGAAGAGGCTCTTATTAGATTGCAGACAATCAACGGGCACAGAGAGGATCTCTTGTTCATGTGGAGAATTGAAACACTGAGGAAGGGGAATCCATCTTGACCTTTTTTGTCTAGGGTGTTAATGTGGATATGTATCTGGTTTCAATACAGGGACATTTGATTACCTTCTCGTGACACCACTGACTTCAACTGTTGAAATGTAGTTACTTGTTTTTACACCAAATAAGCTGTCATTACCATTGTGTAAAATTGTCTATTCACCTTTTTCTAAAAGAATGGTGGGGATAAAAATACCTTCCAAAGTGGTCGGTGTACCTGACAATAACTGTTACTATTCAGTGCATCTATGGCTGCATGGACAGCTGTGAACGTGGACATTAATGAAATATTCGTAGATAAGATAAAATTTGTGATCAAGACCAAAACAACACAAATTGTTTCAAGATCTGTTTTATTTGCTGCTTACAAAAAGACAACAAATAAACAAAAACCTAAGGAATCCCCTCCTGTTAATCAACATACATGCATGATTTCCAGTGGTTTGTACAACAGGCACAGTGATTTTTTTTTGTTCATTTTATATATCACCACTTTGGTCCTATTCTTAAGGAGGCTGTTCAGTGGATTTGAGGAATCAAACCTATATGCAAATGAACATGCGTACAATCATACACAAAAAGGCAGTCCAAACATACAGACAAATCGTGAGAGGCTATAGCACCAGAAAAATTCAGCAGGTGATATACTACATTAAATACAATTAGGAATTTACAGACAGAATGAGGAAAGTTTACTGCCCATTCAAGAAAAACACACCAGTTAACATTACGGAGCCACTGCATCAGGGTGTGTAATGAGCTTGTATTCATATGTAATGGTAAGTTTAAGTGTGATTAAAAAAAAATCTAAATAAACAGCGTAACAATACAATATAAAAAAACAGCAGTTGTAATCTCATCCAACCAGCACATGGTGTCATGCAGGGGTATCGTTTGGGAGGTATTTAATGTTAAATTACCTAAAACTCTGATCCACAGATTTAACATCCACAATATCTGCCAGCTCTGGAGTCTTAGAGACATTGCAAAAAAATGATTTGAATCTGAATGTGTGTGCTTTCTCTTACTTAAAGCAGAACTATTTTTTTCCCCCCAAGAGCGTTATGTTTGTATTGTTCTACTTGACTATGCACCATTTCCTGTGATTTAAGCACAGCTGGGTTTAGTGTATACAGATTGTTGTTTGTGTTATGCCAGTAAAAATGCACCTACGATGGTCACTAGTACAAACACGGTTCTTATTGCACTTCAGAAAAGTAGAGCCTCATGTTATACCTAAGGGAGCTTCCATCCTCTTTACTTCTACTTCATTTCAAACACCTTAAACAAACATGACTATATTTTTCTATCTTACTTTGTGATTTGGTTTGCCTTAACAACTCAGCAATAGACATAAAGATGAAAAAAAATGGATTCACGATGGAACTGTAGAAACAGGATTCTTGTTTCTCCTCCTTTTATCCAAGCAGTAAATCATACAGAATTCTCCTAAGTTTCACCCTGGGGGGAACAATTTCATTCTGCAGTCTACTGTATCTGTTTCTGGAGAGAGGCTTTCAAAAAATGTGCAGATATAATTTGTCATGTAGAACAGCAGCTCTGGAGCAGGAAAAAGTAAACGCACCTTTAGCAAGGGGCTCAATGAAGAGATTCATTTGCATGTTTTACCCACATGGTGTGAGGTTGGATGTAATATCTGCAAAGTTTTCCTTATTTGAGGAATATCTCCTCACTTTGCTTATTCATACCTTTAATGTATGAGATCTTTAACTGCAATTCTTTGGAAAACGTAAAACATGTGACTTGAAACTTAATGTCAGAAGGGATGGTTTTCCACTTATTCTCATTAGCATACTTCATCAAGTGTCAAGTCATTATTATATTTTTTTCAAGATTTCTCTTTTTAGAGAGACTGATGCTCACAGCACAAGGCCACCACCACCTATGAAGGGGGCACTGTCTGGCCGAAACGGAAAGACATTTGACGAGGGAGAGAACGAGGAAGAGAGATGGCGAGAGAGGCGCGGAAAGACCAAGAAAAGTTCAGCACCATGGACAGCGCACAGGAGCGCTGGAGTGGAGACAGCAGTTCGGTGCTTTTCGGAGCTGCGCACAGCCTTGCTTCTCTGAACTCCTGGAGGCTGTACTGTACCCTACAGTCACACCCGGTCAGTCCCACCCTGCGCAAGTGGGGGGGACCTCGCTGTTATTGCTTTTTAACCGGGAATCGCTGAATGAGGAGGCACGATCACTGCAGGGAGGAGTGCGTTGCGCTTGCAAGCACATGTCAGTCTGTTACGGCGCGATCCTTACTTCGTCTCTTTGTTGGAGAGTGAGAGGCACACACGCACAGGGAGAGACAGAGAAAGCGAGAGAGATATACACATACAGTGGAGGAGAGAGAGAGAGAGCGCAAAAAGAGGTAGTCCGTGCAACCAGGCTCCTCTTGCCAGTCCTCTGCTGCGAAACAAGTGTGACGGACCGACCGGCGTTACCTACTCCCAGCTGTTTGTTTTTTCTCTAAGTGTTTTCTCTCCCTCTCTACCATTGTGCTGCGTCCACTCCGGTCGTGAATATGCCCCGGTACCGTCCTGCCCGGGGATTGACGTTGTTATTGCAGGTCGCGTTGTGGATTTTCAGCCTTGTCAGCGCTGTGCACGGAGCTGTGCCAACAACCCGTAAGTTTTTTTTTTTTCTTTCTTTCTTTTGGATGTGTTCCCCATCGCTGAGGGGTGACTCTGGCTGTGGTTGGGGAAGCAGGTCGAGCTTGTGTGAGGCACGGGCGGTGTGTTTACCGGCGGGGCTGTAGGTATCCCACCGAGGTGTCAGCTTGTGGCTCTACGGAGCTCAAGGGTCCACATCAGGGGAGAGGAGAGAGGGTTATCTCCTCTCGAGTGTGGAGCTACATCCTCTGGATCTATGGAGCCTAGATTTCAGTGCTGGTTTAGTGATTTTGATCCCTTGTTTTCAGGGAGTCCAGATAGAGCTGGGTTATTGACATTTCACTGTGTCAGTGGTGGTCTGCTTTTTTTTTGTTGTGAATTTTCATTTCAAGGAAGAATCAATTAAAGAGACTAACCATTTAAAATTACCACGCAAATTTAAGTCCATTTCATTTTTTTTTTTTTTTCGATTTTTGGGGTTTTTCAAGGATTTACATCATTGGTTTAACGCTTGTTTCATTCATTTTTAGACAATTGGACATTTTTGCCCATAGTATATTACAATTCAGAAATATTACAGTCTTACAAACGCGCAGTAATAAACTTCGTGGAAGCTCAAAGTTTACATTTGTAAGCTACCCATCGGAACACATTTCACATTTAGAACCTGTTCTTGAGCACTCTGATACAGGATGTTATAACGAAGTTTATGAAGTTATGACGTTTTATATTTGAAGTTTGATTAGCCTAGTCTCTCCATGTTTACCAAGTCAGGTCTTTTTTACAGTTAAATATTTGGAATACCCTGATGTTAAGATTATTTTATTATATTTGTTTGGCTTAAAACTTCCAGTTTTAGCATCGAAAGTTTGTTGAGGCCCTAAACTAACTTTAATTAATCCATATTTAACAAGTCCTTGGCTAATGGTTATTTGTACTTAACACTCTAAACTCATAAGTTCAGAGAAATAGCCTGTTCCATAGGTGTAGGGCAGGCTTACTCTTCTTTTCTTCCTCATATCCACTGGTATATTCTGAAATGTACCATCTCCTTGGTTGGCCTGCCCATCGCAAAGGAGACACTTCTACTCGGTTCTGTGTTCTGGAATCGTCCACACTTGGTTCGGTGTTATTCCGGTGTCGCCGACAGTGACTGAGCCGGTGTGACCGCGTGACTGATTCCCCGGTGAACGCCGGGGCTTCTCGGGTCCCGGCTGAACGTGTCCGGGGACGCACCTCATTAATCATCCCGTCAGACAGACTACAGAGAGACGGCATCGCGAGCCGTTTGAGCGCGTTGCGTGCACTGAAATGAGGAAAAAAAGGGAAGAGAGCAGTGCGTTTCTGTTTCACAAAGCTGAATCTGTTTAGATCAACCTAAGACTTGATAGATGCAAAAGCACTTTATATACAACTTTATTATTTCCTTTATGGAAAGCATTTACAGTGTACATTTTATGGAAGGCATAATTCAAACCCTCACAATATCCATCATGTCATCATTCTGTCATGAAAAATAAACAGCACGGTTACTCATAGAGCACATACCACAATCAAGGCGTCTGGTCTTCAGTATGTTATGGTTGTGCCGTATCAGGATCTTGGCTGTTATTTTAATGTTATTTTACATTGGAAATACTTGACATACTTTATTAATGAATAGTATAAATAATATCACTGTTATGGCAGCTTGGTATCATAACACTAAGAGCAACTGAAACAGAAAATTGCATTTGGGTTAGTCTGATTTTGTCAAAAATTGAATGGGTTAAGTTAAATTAAAATCCTGGCAATGGATTTTCTCAAATCCTGCTGACAGACAAAGATAGAGACAGCCAGCATGGAAAACATAAGCTCCTTTGCAGTGGCAATAATAAGCGTAATTCAACTGTAATATTAAAGGATCGATGTGGGATTTGCAAGATAGTGTGTGTGTGTGTGTGTGTGTGTGTGTGTGTGTGTGTGTGTGTGTGTGTGTGAGAGAGAAAGACAGAGCGGCATACTAACAGCATGTTGAATGGGACCACCAGTTCCACCTCTGAGCTTAAAGGGATACTTCACCCGTTGAAACATGAATGAGATGAGGTGAGATGAGATGAGATTCAACTTTATTGTCATTACACATATACAAGTATAGAGTAACGAAATGAGGTTTGGCATCTCACCAGAAGTGCAAATAAGCAGAATCTGTATTGACTTTGGGTCATATATGTAATAGAAATCTGAAATTAATTTTGAAGTTGGTGCCTTCTTGGCCGAGAAAAGGCAGAAAGTGTCTTTTTGGCTCATGTGGATGGAAGACACCAAATCCCAGAATGCACAGCACCGCAGGCCACTCCCACTAAGGTCAGGTTTACAGACATATTTACTTTAACACATAAGGCCATTTCCTCAACTGATTCAGAGATTTCTTCCAGAAGGAATTGGTATCTTGGAAATTCCTGGCAGAAAACAGACCGTGTCCATAGGCAAACACTGCGAGCACCAACACTACCAGCCCGCCCCAGCTCGAGCCGGCCCTCGTCCTCACCGCCGCGGCAGCAATATAGCCGTGAGACGGTTGCTGCCGACAGGCTGGTTTTGTTTTTCGGCTGCTGCAGCCAGCAGAGGTCCCAGCAGCCAGCGGCAGCACCTGCGGGCAGCAGCCAAAACACAAGCCCGGCCTGTCGGCAGCAGCCGTCTCGCCGCTATATTTATATTTTTTCGCCATTACCAGCATTCTCCATAGAGCCTGTTAGCATAGCTTCCAAGCAATATGGCAAACGTTAAGTTTTGATTCTGGGAGTGAGTTCCCCCCACTGATCTGTGATAGCTCTGTAGCTTCAGTGGTTGACAATCTGAGGAACTAGCGTTGTAGTTTCACCCTGCTAACCACAACAGCTTCCAATGACGCAAAATTTATATTTTTGCGTCACTGGAAGCTCCTTCTCAGACTTAAAAATACAAAGATTTCCTATCTCAGGGGAAAATGAGGGCGGGATGCACGACCATTCAAAAATACTAGCAGGTTTCTGATGATACAAAGCTTAATGCAAATGGGGAATTTTCCCTTTAAATCTGAGTGCTGACTTGATCCCTCCTTGGGGAGTGGTTTCTGAAACACAATATTATGTCCAATGAGCTGAGGCATGGACTCAAAATGATGAACATTTCCATTCTACTATGGCAAACACACTCGGACTCAAAGTCAGTGAGCTGGTTGACCAACTGACAATGCAGAGTCTCCCAAATACAATCAGAGATGAATGAAAATGCATTTTGCACTTTTGTAGATGTGTTTTGTCCATTTGTATATTGATTTTAATGTTAGTGCATGGCTCTAAAAAGCAGTAATCCAGGGATTTTCTCCAAGGGAAGCCTGGCTTAGAGCTTCCATCAGTTTCAAGTTTCATTCCAGTATCATTTCAAATCTATTTTGACCACACCATTTGTCCATTGCTGCTCATCTCTCCCTGTGTATAGATCAGGAAGGGAATTTTTACATCCTCACCACCAGTAGTGAAAAGTAAAGGATGTCTCTTTGTGTCAGTGACACTGTGGTTGGCTGAAGGATGCCCAAGTGCCGGCCAGATATAAAATCTGATTTCCCTTTTCTTGTGTCAGTAAGCATACCAGGTCATTTGAGGGTTGAACCTCAGTTAAACCCCCAGTGTTGGGTTACAGTAAACTTCATGTAAATGACTTATTAGTTATACAACATTTTGCAGAAGCTGTAGATCAATTTCATTCATAAATACACGCTTTGAAATGTAATCAGTGCTACCGCCATTCAGTGACTGAACCTTTGTTGATCAGCCCGGCCCCACTTTTTTCTTAAATCCTCATGTCCTGTGAAGGCTTTCCAAGGTGACTCATTTATCAGGCAACCACCACCACACACTGACATTTGTGTATTGCATGTGCAAAATGGTGAACATGCTCAGAACTCTCAGTGACAGCTTCATCACAAAGCACCTTCAAAAACTAAATCTGAGGAAAAACAACCATGGCCATATATTCTTACAAATAATACGATTGGGATCATTTACAATAAACTATAATACAATGGTAGAGTTGGTCGTTTCTCAACCGGGAGGTTGGGGGTTCAATCCCCAGCTCCTGCAGCCACATGTCCGATGTGTCCTTGGGCAAGACACTGAACCCCACGGTTCTCCCGCTGCTTCGTTGGCGGCATGTGAATGTGTATCAACAGAATTAGTTAATTCTGATTGATACTTTACAAACACGTGTGATCTGCGGTGTAAAAATTCTTCGCATGGCAGAGGCCTAGAAAAGCGCTATACAAGCTCAAGTCCATTTACCATTTTCCAAATGTGCATTTTCACTGTTACCATACGTTATATTAGCCTCAGTGAACCAAACTGTATTCCTATCACAGCATGCTTTGCTGTACTTCAACTTCTTTTCATGCACTACACTGCAATGCTATGCCTTTAAAGTCACTTTCATACCACTGTGTGCTCAACATGAAACAAGAATAACACATTTAGCTGCATCCCTCTGCCAACACAAATGTTCCACGTTATGTTAGAAGCATTAATAGTTCTTCTTTATATTTCCCCTGGGTCTCACTGAAGGAGGTCAATTTGTCTGAAGCTACTTCATCAAAGTGTCTTATTTTAAGATTTAATGTGGATGATCTGCTGCAAACAATATAACAATCTGGAATATCCTCACACTCCTACCACAGTCACATTTCAAACACGAGTCACAGATTCTAATCATATGATCAGTCACTGTTTGGAAAATGTCAGCCAGATATGCTATAATTGTCTTGAAACCAACACACAGGTAAACCTGATGCCTTCGTGTGTCTTGAGTTTTTGTGTTTGGTCTTATGTGTGTGTGTGTGTCTGTTTATGTGTGTGGTGTTTCTCAGTGGGAGATGGTTATAATTGGATTAGGGCTAGGGCTTAGATTAAATCATCTCAATATGTGTTGTTTCGTTTCGTCTGGTCATACTATTTGCATGTGTACACATGCCTGTTGATTGGTTTGTGTACGTGTCCACATTT